ATGCACGCTTTCTTTTTTTGCGGATTCTAGGGCATGTCCTGTTGGAGAAAGTTTTGCAAAATAGGTCCCCTTTGAAACTTCTGCGACCCTTTCCCAAGCCTACCTCGCATCTTTCTGAAGTTACCCGAGTTTTCACTCCTGCCGCTTCTCCCCACCATCCCCCACCCCGAAAAACAGCAGTTGTTGGGCGGGGGAGGGGAACGTGGGACGGGAGAACCGAAAAAATTGACAAGCAAAAACACTTCTTCCGAAAGCAAATACAACCCTTCACGCCAGTGATTCCCGGCGTACGACTCGCTGGGGATTCTCAATGTGCGACGTACTCTGTCGCCGACTCTTCCTGCTTCGCGATTTTCCACATTCCGCGGTTCTCCGGTTCTTCACAAGATATGAATGCGAACATTCAAATCATTGAGCGAGAGACTAATGCGTGGCTCATTCGAAATCCTTCTTTTGACCTTTGTCCTCGTGTAAACAAAGTAATTCAGATATCAACGGCAGGATGTCATAACAAAACTACCCGGCTGGATTACTAAACGACTCAAATGTCCGAATTCGTTTTCTGAAGCGGTAACACTGACTAAAACTTTCTTCCAAGAGAAAGGAAGCTAATAGGATCGCCTGGTTTTCTGCAGAATTTTCTCAGGTTTTGTTCTCTTACCGGTAACTGCACATATTGCCAAGTTCCTGCCACAACCCCATCCCCCCCGCCCCCAGTTCTAGCCCTTTCGAGTCCAATACGAACACGTAGAGCTTTTTTTTCTCTTCAGTATGATCTCTGAGCCCTATTTCTGACCTCAACTACAATTTCTTGGAATGGGTTTTTTTCCAATTTGAACACTCCAAAGTGCATACTAGGAAGGATTAGGCGTAAGCTATCCGTTCTGGGAATCGGAATTCCAGACCGTGTGCGTGCCCTCGCGTGCGTGATAATTATGTGATGGGATAGAATTAGTAGAACTCTAAAATCGGCAAAGCGACACGCAAGTAACAGGAAAAGGTTCTCGTTGAAAAAGAAAACCTGACACTTTAACGCAAATGTGAGACCATCGGTGGAAAAAATGCCACCCATCGTCGTCCTTGAAATGCCATAGCATCCATTGTCTAGTCCCTTTCGCCAACCGGTGTACGATTTCGCACGCTTACAAGGCATCAAAGATTGCTCCCTATTTAGTGGACTTACGTGGACCCTAAGGTGTTAGGGTGGGGAAAGTCCGGGACCAATTGCCCGAGGAGGAAAGTATTATCCTTCCATATCTCAAAGTATCTGCCTTTTGGCAAATCTAACTAAAAATTTTTTGTTCGTTAGCGTGAATACCTGTGAAACCACAAATGGCCGGCCTTAGTTTGGAGGGGCAGAACGCAATGGGGCTACATCACGCCCATTTCCCGCTTGTCTGCGCCTTCGAACCGAACGGCGCGTCACCACTTTGGTTAATGCCAATGACAGCGCAGACGAGTAGGGCATGGGCGCGGCCTAGTCTCGCCAACTGCCCTCGCCCTCCTCAACCACTTTGGGCTGCGTTCATACTTTGCGACTTAGCGTTTTGGGAGAATCAGCATTTTGGGCAAAAAGGAAACCGTAGGTGTCCATCGCGCCCAATACACTCAAAAGCTGCTCCGCTCGAAACTCTGATTCTCTCGAAGCTAGCCACCGCTGCTGATAGATACCTACGCTATCCTCTTCGCTAAAAGCCAAGTCGTAAAGTATGAACGCAGCAGTGGCACCCCAGTTTGTACCGACAAACTTGTATCTCAACTATTGTTTTCTAATCACTGCGCAGTGTACCAATTTATTCCTGGTTGCAAGTACGGTTCAAATTTGTGCTTTTTGTAATTATCTTTCCTTTGCTCCTCTTTGGTAACAATCGTGGTTCCCGTTGTACTGTACTACTCTTTGCATTAATTTCATTTTCTAGTTTTGCAACAATCAATGACATCATAGAATGAATTTAATATCAAGTCTATACAAATTAAATAAAAATTTGTAGAATTACATAGAACACATCAGTTGTATGTTATTGATTGAATTGAATCTCATAATCTTCCACAACAAATTACAATCTAACCATAAGTATAAAAAAGCGACCAGAAACAGAGATGAAAGCTGCCGAATTTTTTCGTTTTTATCTGAACAGTTTCGCGTTCCTCCTGGCATCTTTATGTGGTTTTGATGGGAAGTATCATACGAATCTCCTGCTGTGAGAGCAGAGGGTCGAGTGAATGGGTACCTCCTGTACAGAATCTTGCCCAGTTTCCACTCCAGAAAAAAAACAGACAGCTCAAACACCAAGTTCAAATGATTCAAGAGAAAAAAAAATAGAAGGATGTTTTAGTCCTATTCGGCTCGCCTTATATCCTGCCTTGGCAAAAGTTAAACTGTCTCTAAGCACTGGGCCGGATATGAGGCAAATGAGGCAAATTAGGGAGGTTCTAGAGCCGAGATCACTGCAAATTTCTCGTTTGTAATCAACTATGCCCCGCGTTCAAGCTGCTCGTTTTCTGAAATAGAACCGCTGGACAGGACTCAGCCTTCTGAGAACATTCGAGCAGTTTCACAGCTCGAGTTAGATGATAAAAAAGAAATAGGCGGAGATCTCATCCCTCGAATCTGCTTTGCTCGTCCCTTGATCCTACTCGATTCCTGTGACAGTGGGCAAATTCAAATGACGAGCAAAGCAGGATCAAGGCATGGAATCTCCGCCAAGATTCTTTCTTCTGAACATCCTCAGGACATTGAAGCAGCTTCAGCACCCGTAGCAGGTCAAAATGGGCCGAGAACTCATGCCTTGCTGCTACTATGTCCACTCTTCGGATCTATGTTCGCAAGACAGGTTCAAGGAACTAGTATGGAAGCATGGGATCGCCGCCCATTTTGATCTACCGAGCGCTGAAGCTGCTCTAGCTGAGCCTAACTTGATCGTTGAGGCTGCTCGAATGGTCTGAGTTGATGTTCATTGCCAGGAAAAACGCGCCCTGTAGCAGTTAAATTGTATCTTTTATATCACATTGAAACTACAGAATAATCGATGAGGGATCAATCAGACCAAAGTATTATCCCAAGGTGAAAAGACATCGACACGGTGAACCATCACCAGTCAGGCAAGGCGATGTCAAAAGCATCTCTTGTGATGACAACTGTTCTCTTCAGCGGCGTTCGAACTTCGCGATGACAAGCGTCGACGGGCTACAATGGCAACAAATTCTGACACCCCAGTTCTATAAATGCGAACGGGCCGCAGATGGTAATCGATCGGCACCGGACATCTAAGTTTTGAGAGAGTACAGGATAGCAGGTGGGCAGGCGCTGCCTTTGCACCATCTGCTACTCTCATGTTCCCCTATTCTCTCAATACACAAGGGCCGCCGCCGATCAATTCCCGTCTGCGGCTGCGTTCGCGTTTATAACATTGGAGCGCTGTTACACTTGCAGCGCGTCAACGCGCGTCATTGCGAAGTCTAAACGCTGCCTTTTCAAATTACAAAGAGGAAAAATGAGAAAGTAGTGGAATGAGATCAGGCTGATAGATTCCTAAATACATCGACTTGCCTGATACTTGCCTTTGGATTATTTTAAATGAGAAATACTGTAAACTGTAACGAATCAAACGTAATCTATGAAGGAAGTGAGGTGTCAAAAAATAATTGGTGCTAGTCGTTGTTAGGGAGTTTCGAGAGGGAAATGACGGATACAAATGAACAGACTCGACAACAACAATGAATCACTAGAGCCACTCCAGTGTGTGCTCTCATATCACAGAACAATACATTTAATAAAGAAAAAAAATAATATGGTTTCTTGTGAAAAACGGGAGCAAAGTGCCGAGAGCATGGGAGAGAGTACGAGCGCGTCAAAAGGGCTCCTTGAACTCCTAACATAGAGCGCCATGATTACTCGTAGAGTGACATACACATGAATGGCTAGACATGCTTGGGCAGCGTCTTCAAAGGTTCTTCCTTTTTTGAAGATGTCTTTGACGACTATTCTTTGCGCCAACGTAAATACAAGATGGACCCATGTGCACAAATGAGATTGAGTTACACTTATTCAACAACGAGATGAAAGCCGATGATGATTGATGAGGGATTCCGAGGGCATATCCCCTCGAAATTTCCAACACTACGACAGCACACATCGACAACAGCTGCCACGTTTCCGCTTTGACAACGAGTCTGAATAATATCTCCTTTGTTTTCAAGCTTTTATTTACCTGCATAACGCCTGAGCTTATCTTCTAGAGGTGAACGTGTGACTAGACGTAAGTAGTCAAGGTTTCCTTACCAACCTTGAGCACCATACTCTATCCGTAGAAAGGATTTAGGGTGCAGTTTGCCTTGGTGGGGCCACGGAGTGGTACTCATTAAACTTGTACAGTGCACCCTGTGAATCTGTAAACTCCTGTGACCGAGGTGGCTCACTCGCATCATTTCGCAGCTTCACAGAAGGCTACAGGTCTCACCAAAATGAGACCTTTTATTTGAACAAACGAATAGGCGAGAAAAGTACCCTTCCAAGCCGTACAGGCCAGACCCTCTTGCGTTGCTAACAGCTGAGTACACCCCTTTCTCGTATGCGTTGGGCGATCCACAACCTTACTGTCCCTAGACG